CTTTTGTAATATTTAGGTGATAAATGTTTAAAATTCAGGCTTCAGTACCCTCAAGCTACCTAACTAGTAATCATAGCTATAACATTAGCTATTTAGAATACTGATAACAAAAAACACACTTAAATTAAATCTAATCACATATAAATGATTCATATTACTTAAACCATAGACAGAAACAAAAATAGTGAATTGAAAGTAAAACAAGCTTACCTCAGATCAGCTACAATTACTTCATTACATCACAGTGGTGCCAAATATCCAGGATGTCTTTGGGARTTTTGACAGTAGCCTAAATTCTATTGATTTTCTGAGCCTGTTGTTCACCACCTAGTAGTGATATCATCACAGAACAACTGATTTTATTTAGGTTTTTATATTTTTTTTTTCTGTAGAATGAGTACACTGTTTGGTGAAAAGAATGACATATTGACTGATGTCATAACTTAGGGGAATAGTTTATTGCCGATGAAAATATTAAAATAAAAAAAACCCTATTTTTGGCATTAAATTTAGCCAAAATCATGTAGAAATGTGTTTTAAGAGTTGTTTTGTCAATGTATGTTGTCAGCACATGTGTTCTCTTTATCTGGAATGTATTTATTGATAGCCTAGCCAACCCAATGAGGATTTGAGTGAGAGAATCACCTCTCACATTTTTCTGATGAAAAAAATAATGGGTGCACACATTAAAACGGCCACAATTTTTTTTCGCAATATTTCTGACAGCGCAGACCCTCCAATTATTGCTTCTTAGGGGCAAAATTAACAGGAAAATCACAAATAAAAAGTATAGCAGACTATGTCAGTTTCAATCCTATTTTGAGWCTGTGGCTCCCTGACTAAAACGTCTGCTGGTTCTGGGTGCGTTAGAATCATATGCAAGACAGAAAACTGAGCTTTTTACCTGTGAGGAAGTGACCCCTGTGAGTGAACTGCAGCTTCTCAGCTTTTCCCAGTCAGAACCCTTGTCTGATCAGCCTGCTTGTTATTCAAGGTAATTTGATGCTTCCTGTCATGTCTAGACTGGGTCAGATTGGGTCAGACTGGGTCAGACTGGGTCAGATTGGGTCAGTAACACAGGTGGGATTAGTCCTGCTGCAGCTGGATCAATCACAGGAAAATTACTGGTTGATTTCAATCTGGTAAAAACTGGTTGCATAACATTCCAGTCTATTTAATTCTGACTTTTAATTTTTGATAAAGACCATAATTTATTCTGCTTTGTTCTCTCAATATCAGTCCTTGACTTTTAATTCTCACTGCTATTTTATAGAACCTCTGCTTTTAATGCAATAAATTCTGCCATACTGTATGTGAACAAAACTGCACTGGTTTCCTCAGCAACTAGCCTCAAACGTTTATTTATTTATTTATTTATTTGTTTGTTTGTTTGTTTGTTTGTTTGTTTGTTTGTTTGTTTGTTTGTTTGTTGATTTGTGAATTTCCAAGAAAGCTCATTGTGTGGCTGAAGCTGGATAAATCAAACAGCTAATAACAAATGGCAAAACTCTGCTTTGGATCTGATTATTCTGTCACCACAAATACTGTATTTCATCCACTTGTCTTCTGTGATTGAAAAGATAATTGTTCATTTTGATGTTGTCTTTGGTCAAACTACATGAGAGGCTGTCATAATATATAACAATGTACATATACCCAGTGCAGTAAATAAATGAATGTATATAAAGGTGCATATTAGTGATGGCAGTGTAGGTGAGTTGAATAACAAACAGGTCAGAATATAAAAGATGAACATTAATGTTCAGCTAACTCAGTAGTTTTAAATCAGTGAAGATCGGAGGGTTTTGATCATAAAAAAATGCACTAAAAAATGATCCAACAAATGGTTTTCATTTACCAGCTCTGATGTCTGTGCTTTCCTTTCTGTCTTGTTTTGATGTTTTGTTTTTTATTTTAATCATAAAACTATAAAAACTAAAGCTAAAACAAAATTATCTGAATTTGTGATGCAGGCAATCAAAATGATTTTTGTCTGTATTTATTAGCATCAAAGCTGAACTTTGATTGGGAGGAGGACAAATATAATCATTCATCTCAGTGAAGAAGCTTATTTATGTAAAGAAAAAATGAAGAAAAACAAACTTAATAGAATATTAATAATTATTATAAATACTAATCTGGACAGGAGAAATTTGTGAATGATTCTGTAAATTTTGTTTTCAGAGGAAGTTTGTCAGCTGCCTCGTTTAGACCTGATCTGAAGCTGAAACCAGATTTTAGTTTTTTGTCTTTTTAATAATTCTGTCATTATTAATGCTTTTCAAATTTACAAAAAAAACCAGTTTATTTTTTTTATTTTTTGTTTTGTTTACCAACACGTTTTGAATKAATTTGTTATGTTGGATTTTTGTGGGTCTGCAACCCATGGCTCTGGGGCCACATGTGGCCCTTCAGTCACTGTGTAGCCACGACTATAGTGTTTTTCATTTTTCTTTTACTCATCTTTCTCTATTCTATCTCACCCTCTCCTGTTCTGAGCTGCTGTGATGTGCAAATTTCCCCACTGTGGGATCAATAAAATCTAAATAAAATCTAAATAAAATCTTATCTTATCTTATCTTATCTTATCTTATCTTATCTTATCTTATCTTATCTTATCTTATCTTATCT